GCATACACACACACACACACACACACACACACACACACTGAAATGAACACTTCATGAAACAACACTGGCCCTTTTAAAATGTGTTGTGTTCTATTTATTCCATTTCATCCATTCTGTCCTGTTCTACTTCTATATATTCTATTTCACTTAGAAATGTTGATGAATTGACTCTAGACCACAAACACTTGTAACATACAGTTTGGAAAACTCTGGTCTATTTTGCATTTGGCCAACTTTGGATATTAGTTTTCAATCCAGTTGTCCATGATTAATCATCTGTGGTCAGTCAGAACAGTAGAGCCATATGTGAGAAGGCTTGAAAAACTTTATCCGTTGCTAGATTCTCTCATGAGATGGGAGAGGCACTCCTTTCTCACGGGGATGTGAGAGGCACTTCGTGTCGTCTTTCTGATACAGGCAGTCCCATTCAATTCAGTGCTGCCTTTACCCTCCCCCACTCTGCCCATTTCATGAACTAACCCCAACTTAAATAGTGGTTGATGAATCCTTGCCATGGGAACCCTTCTAAGGTGTACTTCCATTTTAATATGGTCTTATGTAATGAATTTAATTGCTATAGAGCACTCACTTTTAGAACTGAATCATGGGTCTCTCATAATGAAATAGTGGGTGACAGTGCAGAGGCAGGTGATGTTTGGAGGACGCAGGGCCTTTCTTTATGCCTTTTCAATTATATACTTTCTCCTAACACTGGTCCTGTTTGCACATAAAAATGTTTTCTCTCGATTCCAATGGTGAATTTGTAAGGGACCCAACTCTACTCTTAGAACACTACATAGATAATTTCCTGAGGTGGAAACTGGTGTGGTAGCCAGAATGATGGCCCCTCAAAGATGTCCACACCCTCATTCCTAGAACCTATGAATATGTGGCAAAAAGGGCTTTTTGGGTGTGATTAAGGGTCTGTACTTAAGGTGGGGGGGGCAGGGGTTAGTATTCAGGAGGTCCCGATGAAATCAGAGTCCTTTGCAGAGAAGCTTACCCCTGCTGTTGTCAGGGAGGGAGGGAGGGAAGAAAGGGGGGAAAGGAAGAAAAGAGAGAGATGGAAGGAGGGGGAGAGAGAGGTAGAAAGAGAGAGACAGACAGAGAGGGAGAGAGAGTTGACGTGATGACAAGATCATAAAGCTGTGACTTGAGGGCTTCAAGCTGCTATTGCTGGAGGAGGGGGATCTAAGCTAAGGAATGTGAACAACCCCTAGAAGTTGAAAAAGGCAAGGAAATGGAGGGCCCCCCACCCCGAGTCTTTGGAAAGGAATATGGTCATAATGATACAGTGGTTTTAGCCTAGTGAGACCCCTGCTAGCCTCCTGACTTCCAGAACTGTACGATAATACATTTGCATGGTTTGAGTCACAAAATTTGTGGTAATTTGTTATGACAGCAGTTGAAAACAAATATACTCGGAATGAACTTGTTAGCACCAGGAGAATATGTGGAAATGCAAGCAGCCAACCTCATAATGGCTCTGACATCCCTGATGGGAATCCTTATATGGTGGTGGATGCTGGCTTAAGACATTCCTCTTCTGTGCTAGCGAACACCAGGTTTTTGTATCTTGTAGGTAAGCCTGTTTGTGTCTCTATGGAGTTCAATCTCTTAAACCCCAGGTAGAGAATTGATCACACTGTGGTTTAATACTTATTAGAAAGATACAAAATAAATGGCAGTATTCCCAGGATATGAAATACACTGCTACTTTCTTTCAGAGCTTCAAACTGACAGAAAAATGATTTTAAAAATTCCAGTGATGGTGTCCACAGCACACAGAGGTATGTGAATGGATATTAACATTAAAAAATGTCTTGTGTCTTCATGTGCAAAATTTTAAAAATGTTTAAGAAACAGATATATAGTGAAGCATGTTAGTCTAAACTATGTTTGCACACATATTAGTAATATCTGCCATCCCCTTGTCTTGGCTTCTAGATTATGAGCTTTGGAGAATTCAATCAAAAGCTGATATTCTATTCTCAAAAACTTACAATCTAGTATACCAGGGACTCAGAGTAAACTCTTTTATTCCCCCTAAAGTGGGTGAGGTAATTTGTATGCTTGTACACACACACATCTGTTAATGGAATGCACAAATTATTATTTTAATCAAGAGACACAAAAGTCTATACATTCCTAGGACATAGAGACAAATATACAGTTTGAAATTTTTCTGGAAAATCATGTGAGCTCCAGGGAAATTGATGTAAAGGCAGCTGAAGATTTTTCCAAAGAGTGATCATGGCATGACAGTGGCAGTTGTACCAATAAAAATACAGAGGAATCAATAAATGGACAACTCTTTATGTTAGGAGGCAAGTAACCCATAGGCATACTAGCCAAAGCTGCACAGAGGACTCTCTGTTGTTGATCAGGGCAGCATGGAAACATGACCCTGCGAAGAGTTGGCATGTATTTCCTTGTGTTATCCTGAAAGCAAGAAGTGAAAGAAAACAGGGATGAACTTCTAAACTGCAGCTCCGTGGGGGTCAATTTATGGATGATTCATCTTATGGTTGAATCAGGAGCCAGAAAGATGTAATGAAGGAAAATATGAACTTGTAAGAACAACTTGGCTTGCTTTCTTAATCTAGGGAAATAAGGTCAATCTGACCGAGGTTAACTTTGGCCCTAACATTTTTTACTATGATTTGAGCTATTCACTGAAAGTACCTAGTAACTGACATGGTTATTAACTATTTTTGGAAGGTCACAGTGTGATCATGACTCAGGGACAAAGTGAACCAGAAAATGGATATCAGAGGCAGCCCAGGGTCTGAGAGTCGATACATACTGAAACAGGACAGAGAAAAAACTCCAGGGGGGACTTTCATACAAGCTTGCAGATGTGGCCTTTCTCTTTCCAAGATAGCCTCATACTGGGGAAAAAATCTGAGCATGTGGGGAATGTGGCTGTATCCTATTACTCTTTTTGGTATATTTGTGCTACAGGGACCAAACATAAGTGACATTTAACATAGGTCATTGAAGGATACCAGGAAAATCCCCTTTTGATTATTAAGTAACACCCTGGGCATATTTAAACCACTTTTTATGTGTTTGATGTCCCCCTCCGGGTGCAAGTATTCACTTGTTCTGTTCCCTAGTAGACATGGAGAAGGGGTGATGTCTAAATTCTAAACCAGCTGCAGCATTAAGAGAAAAAAAAACTTACCCCTGCATTAATAAGCAACTAACAGCTTCCATGTGGTCAGAGAATTTTTAAGTCAGAAGGAACTTGAAGCAAGCCTTCCTCATTTTGCCGGTCAGTTCAATTTAGGTCAACACATATGTACCATGGTCAGGCACCGTGGCGCTGCCGGGTATCTAGAGATTAAATATGACCCAGTGCTTGATCTGATGGCGTCTAAATATTGTGGAATAGGCAGAGGCAACATCTATCACAGTGAGGGAGAGCTGCGTTGGATGTATCAGTCAGAGTTTTCAACAGCAAATGACTTTGGCTAGAATAAGCTGAAGAACAACACACCAAACTCCAGTCCCACAATTGCCGGGAAGGCTGGAGAATTGGGCATCAGACTTATGAAGGCAGAGCAGCAGGCAAAATACAGTAATGCCACTGGACACATTAGCTGTTTCTGCTAAGCTCTAGAAACCAGTTTGTATGACTGTCACCAGAGAATCCTAGGCTGTAGTCTCCATGGCTGCAACAGCCACATCCCCGAGCAGGACATTGTTTTCACAGCTGCCTCTGTTCCACACGACAGTGCTTCTCTGTGTCGCCAGTTTCTAATTCCAGGTCCCAGATAGCCGTGTCTGTTTAGCCACCGAAGCGCTTTCTTCCCCCTTATCTCCCAGGCGGGCCTGAGTCGCGGGCACTTCAGCTTGCCTGTCGAGTGTCACCATTAGCGTGTGGAGGTTGCGAAGCAGATTTTAAACTCACAGTTTAATATATCACAGTCTCTTTTATCTTAAATCATCTTTTGGACAAGTCCTTTTTTGTGCTCAGCCTTTCAGTTTCGCCGCCCCCTCCTTCATCTCCAAGATGCTACCTAAGTGAATGGTAGGGACATGACCTTATGGTGTGGGGACCAGAAGGGGCCTGAAGCCCATGGGATGCCATCTGCGACCTGGCTGGGCACATGCTGTGGAGGCGTCTGCTGTGATCCTGGTGCTCGACCCACAGGCCGCTTTGGAACACTGTACAAGCAGGCCGTCCATTGATGGGCGAGTCTTACCATTTTCTGGTACCACCAAGGCACAGCATAGCCTCTTTATCCTAACCCCTGGCTTAGAATATATTTTTCCTTTTCCAACCCCCAACTTTCTTCTTCTTGAATTTTAAGCAATCAGAAATAATGCTGGAATATGCAGAAGGAAAACGCAAAATGAGGAAATGGAAAGGAATAATGGGAGGACGCAGCAACAAAGGTTCCACGTTGCTCACATTTTAAAGCACATTTTTAAAAATCCAGGGCATTTTGGAAGATGAAGGGTTAAAGGTCTCCATTCTATCTGGGGCACCTCTGAGTGACAATCACAGTGCTGATGCAGGAGGAATTAGAGGCTTTCAGTCCTCACCTGGAAAGCCCTCATTCGCCTGCTCCATCGCAGGTAGGCCTGCTACCTCCTCAGCTCTGAATCACTGACGGAGAATCTGGCGGGGCCGGTTCCACAACTGCAGGAGCACTTGTTTGCACGGAGATTTTTAAATTCTTGCCAACACTGAGGGTGCCTGCTTACTCTTTGGCAAACATCAAACCACTTTTGTTTCCTTTTATAGAAATAGGTCCGTATTTACAAATCGTCCTTAGATCTACCCAACTGATATGTATTTTCTTTTATTTTTTTAACTTACTGCTTTGCTTTTCCAGCTACTTTTTCTTCCTAGGGTGAAACTGTAACCATCCGCCCTTTTCTCCTGGTTTCAGGTGAGGAGTATGAATTGTGGGTGTTGTAGTTCTGCCTCTTAGGGTTCCTGGTTGGGCAGCCTGAAGCCACACAGGGAGGACTGCGAGTCCCAGGTGGCCCCGTAAGCAGCAGGTAGGTAAGGCGCCGCACGCAGAGCAAGACACGTTTGAAGAGAGTCCTTGCTTTTCATGGAGTAACCTTCATTCACTAACATAATGTTCCCGAACTGAAGAGGCTTGGGCTCATTTCCACAACTGTAAGTGCTGCTTTTAAAAATTAATATTCTTTTCACTAGCGATATATGGTACATATAGGAAATTGTGTCATTTCCTGAAGAAGTGAACAAACTAAATGCTTCTTCCCAGGCCCTGCTTAGAAAGGAAACAAGGAAGGTAACTGATATTCTGTGAGTTTGTGGGATATGGTTTAGAATAAACTTTGACACACAGAATGGAATAATACCTTGAGACATAGAATAAAATAATTTATAAAAAGAGGAGGAAGACATGCAACATTCAAAATCAAATGTAAAAACAAAAGACTGATTTGCCTCAACTATGTAGATGGTTGAAATCCTCTGAAAAATGTAAATATTTCAAAAGCCAGCCAGGTGTGTTGAAAAGACTGTGGCAATTGACGTCAGAGGAAGTTGTATTCAGTGGCCCCTCTGCTTTAGACGTGTGGCCTTTGGCAGGATGCTTCACCTCGTCGAGCCTCAGTTTCCTCGCTTGTGAAATCAGCATAGTGTGCTGGCCAAATAAATGGTCAGGCGATAACTGATGGAGGACACACTTGGCTTCTTCCTAATTAAGTTTCAATTAGACTTCAAAAACAATATAAGAGGCAAACATATTGTAGGAATCCACCTATGTGAGGTATTGAGAGTAGTCAAATTCATAGAATAGGAAGTGTTCAATGGGTATAGAGTTTTAGTTTTGCAATTTAAAAATGTTCTGGAGTTTGGTTGCACAGCAATGTAAATATTCTTAACACTATTAGATTGTACACTTATAAATGGTTAAGATAGTAAATTTTATGCTACTTGTTTTGCACTACAATTTAAAAAAAGACACAGAGAATGTAGTGAAAATTCTGGTGCCTCCTGTTTGTTAAGTTGTCCCTGACTCTGGAAAAAATGTCTAAGTCCATTCTCAGTGGGTCTAATTTCAGGATTGCTATTGGATCAACTATGTTCATGCCTAATTTTTATATAACAATAATTAGCAATAATGGTGCATTTCTGATATATTCTTAAAGTTTCCTCAGCTTTTGTGGTGATCTTTTTATACCTTCCTTAACTTAATCATAGGATTATCTCTAATTAATGATAGTGATTTTTAATATGATTTCATGGGTACTATACAGATATAGGAATTAAGAAGTCATAATTATTAGATACAATTTAATTGAAAGCTATATACAAATAAATATTATTTATCCCCGTTTTCTCAAATCCCTTGTAGCTTTTTATTAACAGATTATTTTTATGTGTCTCTGTCCTCAAGAAAATAAAGACTATTAAGACCAGATCTGCTATATACCATCTTATCTTAAAATGTGTTAGCTAATTTGGAAGACAAAAGACAATTTGGGGTTATATTTATTTTACCCTTGAAAGCATGTCTGAATTTTTGGAAAATCTTTTCTTGAAAAACCACACACATGCCTGTCTATTAAAACTAAGTATCCTCTATGGCATTTGGTGATAGCTGAAGGTGATAGCAACGAGTATTTGTGACATGTGTGGAAAGTTTTGCATGTGATATACTATTTAAATTAAAACTCTCTGAGGAGCTATGTCAGCAAGTCCAGGGTAGCATTAGAATGAAAACAAAGAAGACGGAAAGCTAGAAAAGCACTTGATAAATGTGGTATACTCTTTAAAAGTGCAGCATTGGTTTTGCTGTTGAATGCCATCTATGGTCTACTCTCTCTAGGAAGCGTCATTATTCATTTAACAATTACTTTTAGCAATTCTGCAGCGTTCTTCCAATGGTCTGGGCCTTGGGGTTAAAGAGTGACAGGGGCATAGCCCTTGAGGGGACCCTGATCTACTAGAGGAGATATGTACTTATTAAAAGGTTAAGGGAGGAAGTGCGAATCTGTCAACCACTCTTGCCATTCCTGGTATCACTGTTGGTCAGCTCATCCACTCGTTAGCAGGTATGTTGCTCAGTATCATGATTAAAAAGAAGCCTCCATACATCTTTGCTTGAACCAGAATCATTGGAGTCCAGAACAAACTAAATTCGAAAACTTATTTATGAGTCACTCAAAAGCAGAGTGGAGTGGGCCGGCCGAGTGGCGCGATGGTTAAGAACTGGCTTGGGACGCCAGAGGGCCCCGGTTCGGATCCCACATATGAGGGCCAGTGACACTGCCCTCTACAGCTAAGATGCTGAACAACAGCTCAACCTGGAGCTGGGCTGCCGTGAGTCGCTGGCCACGGCGGATGCTGTAGCCCCTGTGGCAGTGGGTTGCCATGGGCTACCGTGTGTAGCCAGCAGCCAGCGTGAGCGGCCAGCAGCCGTCCAGAAGCCGGCGACTGATCTGCCTCACCCGGGAAGAGTGCAATGATGGTGCCAACTTGCGCCAGTGAAGCAACGTCCTCCACAACTAGACTGAAGAACAAAAACGACAGCAACTTGTCTGTTCCCCTTCCCCCAGTTCCCCAGCACTGTTCCCATCCCCCCAATTCCCCAATAAAAATCTTTAAAAAAAAAAAAGCAGAGTGCAGTGACTTCCTAAACATGAAAGGAACACATACCCACGTGCCAGAGGAAGGAGAGGTCGTGGTGATTGAATATTGAGAGGATACCCTGGGAAGTGGTGGAGATTAAGCCGGGCCTTCAAGGAGGTACAGAGTTGAAATCAGCAGAAAAAGAAGAGAATATCTCATCTAGAGCAGGGTTTCCCAACATTTTAATGGATGAAACGATTTTAAGCAATATCAATAACAATAACTTCGAGTTACACAGTGAGAAAGTTATATTTTTCAAGTTACTTTCAATTCTTCAAGGACAAAGTTTTGTTGCTGTTAATATGGCTTTAAAATTCTTCTAACACATGTTTGTTTAATCCTCCTTTATAACAACAATAGAGTATGTTAGAGGCTTAATGATTTTAGCAGGCAAAAAGTATTTAGTTATAACTTAATAACCTTTAGAAAAACATTTATTTTTATAGTTATTGCCTGTTTATTCCAATAGATTCTAGTTTTTCCACTGATAGAAATTTGCTTTTAAAAGACTTATCTAAGCTGAAATGAGAGTGGATTTACAGAAAACATTAAGTAAAGAAAAGTTCAGATGGTACTTGATAATGGACAAATCATGAGGAGGTACCAGAATGTCTGAAGTTCGGGAAACATTCAACTAGAGGCAATGTCAAGTACAGAAATTAAGATGGGAACTAGGCTGTTTTTATGCTGGAAAGACGGGACATTGGGTATCCTATGAAGGGTATCCTAGGGTGCTTTGGGTGATGATGCTGGAATAAGGTTCAAGTTTGTGGAAGCTTTAAAAGGATTTGGACTTCAGCTTCAAGATGGTGGAGTTCCAAAAGGGTCCTGACCCAGGGACAGCATGTTGAAAGCTGTGCTTCAGGAGGATCATCCAAGAAATGGCACCTGGGGTTTGGAGCATGGGGAGCGTGAATGCACAAGGGAGCACTTTGGAAACATGTTTAATAGCCTGAGCATGGATGAATAATGGGTGTTGGAAATGAAAATTGAAGAGAGGGATGAGGAAGTCATGCAAAACAATGAAAATTAAGCAATCATTAAAATGATGATGATGATGCAAAACAACAGGCAAGATGCTCTTGAGTTTCTCAGCTTGGTGGCCTGCGAGAATGACAATAGCACTGAGGCAAGAGGGAGAGCTAGTTCTTGTGGGAGGAAACGTTCCTTTTACTTCAGGCCATTCGAAATGGAGATGAGTAGACCCTCAGTGCAAAGGGTCTGCATTGTTAATCACATGGTACTGGAATTCGGGAGAGCTCTCAGAGTTGACCAGAAAAATGGGACAGCAGTACCTCCTTCATTAAAATGCAACTTAGTTCTGCTTTTCTTCCTCCTCCACTCAAGAAGGAATGCTGAAGAAAGAGAATCTTCAGGTGTCTAGGGATGGGAAGGGGAAGGAAGAGGAGACTGACTGTTTCCTCCCCACATTTTACTGTTTCTTAGGGGCCCTTCCCAGCACCTTGCTCAGAGATGAGACTTTGCTCTAGGGCCCCTCCTCAGAATAAACAAAAACATCTTTATTTCTAGCCAGGAGACTAGCCACCAGGTTTAATTTCCAGGAATGGTAGAGGGGAATTTGTGTGTCTTCTGTTTCCATTGGGAAAAGCACTGAATTTAGATGTTTTTCTTAAAAAAATACAAGATGTAGTAGATAGATGTTTAAAGATAGATATCACAAACACTTGTGTACTCAACTTCCAGCTCAACAAATAAAATACTAGAAATTTCTGAAAATGAAGGGCTCTTCTTCATCCTATTCTCTTTCCACTTCAATGGCTATCCTGCTATCCTGTCTTTGTAGATTTTCTCTCCATGGCGTGTTTTTATTCTCTTATCCGTTTTTTATTTTGTTTTATTCTTTCCACTGCTATGTGAATATACCCATAAATAGTATATGACATTGTTTTGAATGTTTAAAAATTTTGTATAAACATCAGAGCACACATTATTCATCTTTTTTCTCTCAACACTGTGCTTTTGAAATTAATCCATGTTGATTCTTCTAGCACGACTTATTCAGAGTCATATCTGACTCTGAATGCTATTTTGTTATCATAAGTAGCACTCTAATAAATATCCTTATACATGTCATTTGTGTACAAATATAAGAATTACTCTGGTGAGTGTTTATAAGAATAGATTTGCTGGGCCATAGGCACATGAATCTTCAACTTTATGAAATACTGATGAATTGCCTTCTAAAATACCTATACCAGGTTATATTTCTAGCCAAAGTGAATGAGAGTTTCTGTTGTTCCCCAATCTCAACACACTTACTTATGTTCTAATTAAATAACCTTTTTACATATGTCATTGAAAACTAGATGTTTGCTGCATTTGGGAGACTCACATATGTTTGAAACACTGCAATCTCTAAAATATAGTGTAAAATTTGATCTCAAATCAACTTCCTTGTTTCTCAACCTGTGGTGTAAGAGATTGACTGACTTTTCCATTTAATACACATTTGCTTTAGTATTAATTATATTAGCAATAACAATACTGATAACAAC